TCCAACAAGGCATCCCCCCGGTGGGGCTGTGCACCTCCTGGGTTAGATGAAGGTCCAGATCCCCAGATAGTAGGGCTGACAGCATCAGGATAAGGCTGATCTTTGAAAATACTCTTTGAAGGACTAGGTGGTAGTCAAATGAGAGGATCTTTTTGTTCTGTCTTCAGATGTATGGTCAGTCTTGCTTGTATCATTCTTTTTGTATACATTATATCCTTTTGTTCCTTATCTCCTTACTAATTGCCTGTGGTAAATAGTGAGTGAGTGATGAATGCATGAGTGACAGTCCAGGCTGGGAAAGGGATTGCACTTGGAGTTAGCAAAGCTTGACTTACTGCAGCTGTGAGGTCTGGTAAAAGACAGTGGAGTGGGGAGAAACTCAGGGCTCTAGGGGTAACCCATGGATGGGTTTGTAACAGTAGGAATTCAAATATCTGAGGAAGAGGAAAGGAATTGAATATGCCTGTTTCACATTGAGTGAGAGCCATAACCATAGACCATGATCAGGTCCTCTAATGGGGAAGCACTTGTTAAGAATAAATAAGTTTTCAAGAATTTTTGTTTCTTCCATGAAGGTACTTGAATACTCTGGGTATAGAGATACTAAGTCCCCTACCAGATGTTAATATAATCATATGATGGGATATGAGAAATTTTATCCTGGATCACAACAATTGTGCATCTTGCCATCCTTAAATTTCTAGCATGGGAGGAACCATGATTCTTTGGTTCTGGAATAAAATTCCTCAGATCCAGTCATACATTTGCTGGGACGTGCAGCTAGGCACACTGAGCTGTGTGGATTGGGAGCTCTTTGATCCCCAGTCTGTGTGCAGCCAGCTGGCACAGAAACATGGGGAGCTGGGGACCAGGGAGCTCTCCAGTCTGTAGCTTCATGTTCCAGGAAACTTGCAGTAGCATGCAGTCAGCTGGGGACCAAGGAGCTCCCTCCTGTATCTCCAGCTGTGGACCTGTTAATTTAGCATCAAGCTGCATAGCATGGCTTTAAATGTCCCTGCTCATGGGGAGCTCATTGCAGGGACATTTAAAGACCTACTGTGCAGCCTGATCCTTGGGTACAAGCTATACATGCAAATGGAAGGAAGATACAAGCCATCCATAAAGATGTTAAAAGTATAACATCTTTGTGGCTAGTTTGCCATTTTGTTGTGCTATAACATACTGTACATTCAGCCATTTTATAATTAGTTGTGTTAGTAATCGTACCATAAACTTAATGCCTGCTAAGCCCTAAGTCTTACAAGCATGTAGGAACTTTTATCTATCCATTAGTTTTCTAATTATTCTCAAATATGGGAAAGAATTGTGTCTTCCAAAAAAGAGAATTTGGACAAATCTTTTCTTGTGCAGAAAATCAGAGGTCTCATGTAAAAATTGCTATACTTATATGGTAGGCAGGAAACAAATATTTGCCATGGAATGTTTTATACTGTGAAAAGAGTGTTCAGTTATGCAGGAGTTTTAGAATGCGTGTAATTAATTTAATTTTAACATGGATTGTTCTCTTAATTACATATAGGCTTCTAAAAGCAACTTTATTTCAACTGTTCCTAGAGGATTTTCTCTCATAAAACATGAAAGTAAATACTTCAACAGTCTTCTGCTGGATTTTTTTTTTAGCATTTATATCTGCATATTACTTTTTTAATGTCTGAAATGAAGGAAAAGAATGAACTTAGTAGATGACAACAAGGGGATGTTTGGAGAACAATAATTATATAATCCAGTGATGAAAATGTTTTTAATACTCTTATTGTGCAACTTTAATTTATATAATATAATTTGTTTCATGTTCTGTTTTATGGTTCACTTAGGGATTGCAGTATTTGCAGTCTGAAATGGAAACTGTTCTGTATCTGAAAAAGAAGTACCTAATTTTGAGGAAATGCTGTAAATATGGAATCAGTCCTTTACTTCCCATTTAAATTCAAACACTGAACCTGTTTTGTAATCACATGTGTTTGGTGTAGAAGCCAGAGGTGCACAGGTAGAGATGGTGTTGCATGATGTTTGTTCATTAATCTTGTTTAATGCCACATCAGTGGTGATTATAGTCTGAAGAGGATGAAGCATCTTTTTTTCAACACTTGGCATTTGGAATATACAAAATAACAAGTAGAGAAATAAACAATCAAATTGATCAACTAGTGTGACTATTGACTATTTTCATAAAGACATTCCTTCTCTTCTTCCTATTATTTAGAGTGAGGGAGGGGGAATGGTCACTTCTCCCACTCCAGATGAGAGGGTAATGAGATATTCTTTCACTCCATTCTGCCATATTTTGAGAAGAGGTAATTAATAGTCTCAAGGATTTCTACAAGGAAATGAAGATCCCTGCTGGTGAGGAGAAACTTAACCTTAGGAAGAAGTTGGCAAGACTGGGATAGAGAATTGCCTTACTGCCACCTACTTAACCTTTTGCCTTCTAACGAATAAGGATTGTCAGTGGTAGTTGTGGGCTTGTCCCATAAATATTTCTGCTGGAGTGTAATAATATGTTCTCCATCCATGGAGTCATAGAGAAGTAGGGCTGCAAGGGACCTATAGAGGTCACCTAGTCCAGCTGCTTATACAAAGCCATTGACTATTCTCCTAGCAAAACTACATAGACAACCCAGACACAACAGAGGACATAACACCCTTATCTGTCACAGGTAATGAAGAAATAGGTGCACTATGGTGGGATGGATGGTTCCTCTCACACTATGGTTCCCCTCACACTTCTAGTACACAGTATATATATATGTATAGCTAATATATATGGTATTGTCCAACGAATGGTTATTTTCATGAGGGCTCGGTAGCTACAAATTCCTGTGGACTGACCTTGGTACTTTTATTTGCAAATATTAGCAATTCAGGTTTTTCTTCTAGTCAGTCATGGGAAAAGTTTGTGAAAAATGTAACTAGTTAAAGTTAAAAGTTAGCAGTCTTTAAAATTAACTTGAGTTAAGTTATTTCCACTTTCAACTAGTTAAAACATACATTAAAAGAGAGTAACTAGTTAAAAGTTAAGTTTATTCATGAGAAACATGCGAAACACAGTGAATTGCCTCAGCATCATTTTTCATTTTCAAATGCAATGAGTGGGTTTCTTTTCCATAAGCCTACGGAAGCACACTAATTTACTCGGAACTGACCCTGCTTTACCTGGAAACAATGTTATACTTGTCATACAGTTTTCAGAATAACAATTTACCAATACCTATGTAATGTTAAATCCTTCTCACCCTCTCCATGTGAAGTACTTTGTAAAAGTCAATGCGTCATATAGGTATACCAGAATAACAGAAAGGAGATATTCATAGTCAGGTGACAAATTAAAGCTGTTTCCACAGAAAACCTCTGTTGTTACAATTTGTATTTCTCAAAAGGTAACAAAAGGGTATGGAATACATCTGAATTAGAAATAATGAAAGTGTCTGAAAATCAAAATTAGACTGAAATGAGAGAATCAGTTTAAATGAGAAAAAGAACATTTAATTGCATAGCAGAAACTGTTTAAACATGCTTATTGAACTTCAGCAAAAGCTGCCTTTCAAAATTTACATCTGACAATTTTCCTTTTCTGTCTTGCAAGACTAAGCCCCCACTACTGAACAATCGCTCTACATGGCAGATGAGGGAATGCTTGTGTTATAATGGATTAATAGCTTTTTCATAGTAGGTGACATCTCAGATAAGTTTCTCACAGATGAGAAGTAATAATCAACTTCTTGGGCTATGGGCTGCTGGTTCTGATCTTCATTAAAATTAAAAAAGTCACCATCTGCTTCACCCTCACTACTTGCTCTCACTCTTACTGGGATCAATGTCTCTGCTTGCTTGAACTTGTTCCTTCTCCTGCAGCCAACTGGCTGCCTTGTTGACTTCTGCAAATGCACAGAAAATGCCAGCATGAACTAAGGAACTCTGGGACTTGTAGTTCTTAAGAGACCATATCTCATAGGAAGGCATACTACTCTCTGTCTCTCAAACAAGAAGTCCTAGAGTTTCAATAAAGAAATAAAGTTCCATGTAAGTCCTAGAGAGTGGCTGTGCCACGAAAAACTCTGGGAAAGCCAGATTTCTTTTTTTTTTTTTTTACTTTTAACTTATACTTTAAAAAAAGTTAAAGTTAACCCTGTTTTGAACGTGTTAAGGGTAAAAGCTGACAGCTGAAAAATTTAACTATTTGAAGTTAAAAGTTAGCCATTTCTTTAACTTTTTAACTAGTTAATTAACTAGCTAATTCCCACACCTGCTTCTAGTAATGTATGGTGTGCAAGCCAGTTTTGCAGCTGCATTCCAGCTTCCTTGTAGTGCTGTTCCCACCTCCACCTCCAAACTTCCCTGATTCTCCCACGACATATTCAGGGTACAGCTCATGAGTCGGGGAAGCAGTCAGGTGGCATTAGGAGACAAATTGCCAACAGGATATGACATTTCCAGCAGAAACTCTCTGTAACCTTTGAAGGAGCTGAATCCAGAGTTTATTATTAGGTGATACATAAAACAACTTCTTGCAAGTCAGACCACTTTGGCAATGAATAAGACTGTACAACTAATGTGATCTTCCTGTTTGCAACATAGAACAGAAAAAAATCTCCTAAACCATTGAGTCCACTTCCCTGAATTCACAAAAGTCTTCATTCAAAGAGTCTTATCGCCCACCCTTACCCTTTGCAAACCACAGCCACAAAGTAAACATAAAATACCCTACAAGGTGCCAGAGATCAAAAACAGGGGATGCTGGGGGCACCACAAATGCTATGATATTGAAGTGGTAGAAAAACATTAGTTTGAATTTAGATTACTGGTAATCTTAATTTTGGCTTTGCAGTCACACTTTGAAAAATCCAGTGAGGCTCCCCTACGCCCAAATTAAATTAATTTACATAGACTGTTCCATTTGACCTCAAGTGGAATGGGTTGCTTTGGGCTCTTGTAAGAAAAAGAAATGAAGTGATGGACTTGTGGTGCTGTCCTTTTTATTCAATAGCACAGTGTTTTGGTAGCCACTCAAACTGCAGAATGCCCCGGTCCCCTCCTTTCCTTGAGGTTTGAAGCCACATCCCAGGACTGTGCACTAACTCCAAGGCTAAAGTCTTTCTCCTTCAATTTTTAAAGTATTGGCAGTGGCACAACTCCAGCAGGAAGGATTGAAGTGCTCTATTTCAGAATACCCTATAGCTTTATGTTTCATGTACTCATGTGGCAGATAGGACACTCAAGTTCTAATCCCTGCTCTGAATGGAGCAGAGTATGACCACAACTCTCTAGGTAGGGAGCTAGAATACCTGGGTTTCCCATCCCTGCCCCTGTGAATATCTTAGAAATATTACATTTTGCATAAAGGGACAGATTTAGAGGTTTCCACCATGACCCCAAAGTACCTGTATCCAAAAGTTGATATTGCTCTTCTAGGTTCAGGTCATATCTGATAGAGGATGGAATTGAAGCCATCCATCCTGAGCAAGCAGTCTGATTGAGCTATTGGAAGCACTCTCCCCATTTCATCCAAGTAGTTTCCTTATCTGGCAGTTCTGTTAAAGTGGCTTTCCTGATTTTTTTTTTTTTTTTTTTACTAAGTAGAAAGTAGTAATTGGAAATTTGACCTAGCTACACAAACAGTTTTGAGAGAACCAGAACTTTGGTTCTGAGAATGCAACTGGGAAGCTTTGAGTCTCATAATTACAACTCTTTAGGAAGATAAGAAAAAGTGACGTTGTTGGCTCCAAACTTAGGACTAGTTCCCAAAATAATTATAAAATCTGTTTCAATAAACAACAACACTAGAAATTCAGTTACCCTAGGAAGACAGGAAAAAGGTGCACATGGATATGAATTCTGACTAAAATTCTACCTTATCTGTATGGAAAAAGAGATTTCTTTCTGGTTTATGTTTACAACGTGATTTGTAGTTAGCTATGGAGTTGCTCCTGTTCTCTACAGTCTTATACCAGTTAGCTGTAGCATTTGCCATAATTCAAGTTGCTTAAATTCTATGATAGGCACTTCATTGTGCTTTCCCCAAAAACCTTGGGGTAGGGGCTGAAATTTCTACTTGTCCACTAAATCCTTTTGACAGTCTGGAACTATTTTCTAACCTTTAACTTTAAGGCAAAAGGAGAGGAAATGTATTTGTTGTATTTGAAATAATTTTGTGTCATTTAAAAGGTTAGGATTTAAAGCATATCAAAGACTTGCAATATTTTGAGACCTTACACCATTGCAATGGTTTGAAAGAGTTCTAAGTAGCTATGTTGGCATAATTTTTTAAGAACACTTTTTAGCATTCAACATGATCCAGCCTTGACACCTTAAAGATTTTTCTTTAAAAATGTATTAGTAGGGAATAAGATGCCAAAAAAATTGCATTAATAGTAACTTCAGGATGGTGGAGCTAGTCCAGTCAGGAACTGTAAAAGATAAGATGCTATCAATAACACTAAAGTGTGCGTGTGCGTGCATGCATGTGTGTGTGTATATTTCTCTGGTTAAATGCATAGTTTTAAACTTGATACACAAAATAGATAAGAGACTTCAACATCTAATTTTTGACTTTCTGCCTAACTATCTTCAACATTGCTTAGGGGTATGCAACAGGGTTCAGCTCCAGGGGTGGCTGTGATGCCCATGGAGCCCCCTCAGCACTTGTCAACCTGGCCTCTTCGGGCAATCTCTCCTTCTCCTAGCTTGCCATGCCTTGATAAAATGATATTTTCAGAAAACGGAGGCTGCCCCAGGGCTTCTCCAGCCAGATTTTTTCATGAGTACTGGTGTTACTGCTTGTCACCTTAAAGGCTAATCTCTTCCTCCCCAAGCCCATGTCTTGCAAATGTTATCAATCACTTTCAGGCCTTCTCTCTCTGGGTGTTTATACATGTGTTTGGAGGGGGTGGGGGGAAGAAGGTGGCACTTTAATTACAGCAGCTGCAAGAGCTTCTCTAATTAAAGCGTCCAGAGCATCCCATGTATCAGTATCTCTGTGCTTAAAAATGGTGCTGGGGCACTACAGCACCATCAACTACAACTTGAACAAGCTTTGAAGTGCCTCCACCACCATTTTTAAGCACAGGGATGCTGATAGTCGATACAATGGAGTCTTCTGGAGCACATTAAATACCATGCCACAGCAGACTTGATTAATCATGTTCAATCACAGTAATTACCACACTCCAGCAGACTCCAGAATCTTATGTATTACAGTGTGTCGGAGCAGCCTTGCTGCTCATATATAGGTGCCCTCTCTCTCTGGGTCCTCTAGCCCCTGCTCTCCCTCTGCTCTTTCTGGCCCTCTTGCCCCTCTCTGCCTCTGAGCCAGGTGGGACCTCCTTACCTCCCCTTAGTCCCTTCCACAAACCACCAGACATTCCCCAGTCCTAAGGCTGCATACCTCCAGGTATACTCAGCATGGGCCAGAGTCACAGCCTCAGCAGCTACTCAGGAGCTCCTACCTTGTCAGCTGCCAGGATATGACTGCCCAGCCCAGCTCAGGCCCTGGGCCTATATTCTCCCTTAACCTAGCCTGCAGCTGATCAGGTGACTCCTCTGGTTGCCACCTGAGCCCTCATTGCAGCCTTTTTCCCCTCTTAAAATGACAAGTGCACTTATCACTCGGTCACAGGGCAACATAGGATTTTCTTTGAATATAATACATACCATGTAAATGTTTCCAGTTGGGCGTAAGTACTCCATTGTGTAGTCATTTTGGAGTTGTCATTTAAATACCCCTCACTAATACCTGTTATATTGTAAAAACAGTTCAAGTGACTTTTCCAATGGGGGCAGCATTCATACATTCATAGATGTTAGGGTCGGAAGAGACCTCAGTAGATCATCAAGTCCAACCCCCTGCCCTGGGCGGGAAAGAGCACTGGAGTTAGATGACCCCAGCCAGGTGCCTGTCTAGCCTCCTCTTAAAGATCCACAAGGTAAGGGAGAGCAGCACATCACTTGGAAGCCCATTCCAGATTGTGGCAACCTTTACAATAGAGAAATTCTTCCTGATGTCTAACCTAAATCTGCTCTCCGGCAGTTTGTGGCTGTTGTTCCTAGTTACTCCAAGGTGTGCTCGTGTAAACAGAGCATCTCCTGTTCCTCCCAAAATAACACTTAAGTTCCCTTCCCTTTCCCAATCTGCCGCTCTGCTTTCTACTCTCTGTTCTGTGTTCGCTACCTAATCTGCTGGTTTGCTTTCTGCTTCCTGTCCTATTTGCTGTTGCATTCCCTGTTTCCTCCTGAATCTGCTGTGTGCCACATACAGAGGCTGCCTGTGTCACTTGTGACATACCTACTACAGCTTGACCACCCCTGAGTAGTCCCTGCCTGCTTAGACTGCTGAAAAGTGATTGGTTCATGGCTTTATTAAAATTCATATAAGTTAGCTGCTCTGTGTCTCATGCTGACTTATCTCAAGGAATGTCTATTTTAATTATATTTCATTGTTTCAAAAAGTGTTGATTTGTCTGTTCTAGATAAATAAACATGAAAATTCAGTACTTCAATTTTTATTTCATCTGTTTGGGTTGAAAAAAGACATGCTATTTCTGAGTTATAGTCTCATATCCATGAAAAAGGAATGTATGTACATACATTTATTCCACTGTTATGCACATGATGGTAACTCCTTTATGCAGGAAAATGGGAATATACATCATCCTCATTGTTTGGGTGCATGATGTTACAGGCCTCATAAGAGAGAGAGGATCAGTAGAATGCCAGAACTATAGAATGTTAATGCCACTGAAGTTTAGTACACATCTCTGGTTGAAATCAAGAAAATGTTTCTCAAGGTAGTCAATAATAGGCAATTTACTGCATAGAAAAGGTCTAGATTCTTTAAGTTCCTGTCCTTTTCCTGATTAAAATATTTACATTCTTTCTACTAAAAAAAGGTTTGAATATTAAAATATAAAACTCTTTGGGAAAGAAATTGTACATCATGGAGTTGTGCATATGGGAAGCTAATTGCAAACGCCTTCTGCTTATGAATGTATTGCCATTTGTATTCATTATCTTGCTTAAGCAAAATGTAACCATCTGCTAAGTGAATCTGTGCATCATACTCAGACCCATTGTTCTTCCCTGCCTTCTCTGTACCTATTCACTATTATTATGTTACCTGTGATATTAAATATTATAACATCCATAATCAATTATTTAAGTGATAATTTTCACTCTTCCCTAAAATAAACAATTCCAGTCTTTTCATGTACCTCCCCCTCTCTTTCACCTGCCCTCCCACCATGTGAAGAATAAGAGCATTGGTAACTTTATTGGTAAGGTAAGTTGATTTTATTTTTAAATTGCAGAATGTTGCATTTTCCATTCATTAACTATTGCAGTAAGTGCAATCCTCAACAGTTTGTTGTGGTCAGAGATACGGTTTTAATGATCCTTTGTTCTCAGCTCCTTATAGTCCCTCTTCTTCCATCTTGAAGGTCTCTTCTATATCAGGTTCCAGTTCCTTTGCTCAGAAAGTATATGATCCCCCTTGCAGTGAAGGCGAAATCTATATTGAAGCAGAGGACTTGCTTGCTTACGTTTCTTCCATTTTGGCTCTTTCTTTCATCTTCCTGACCATTATTGATCACATCTCTGTGTGTGGTGACTTCTGATCCCTATGTCCAGGGAGACCCTAAGATAATTCCAGTAGTTATCTTGCCTCTACAGCAGAGCCTCGAGCCTTCCTCTTGGCTGTTTTAGTCTTTCTTCCCTTCTTTCTCTGGTTTGAGTCTTGTGATTATTTTGCATATGGATGGGAAGGCCATATATCCATGGAGCTCATCAGTGTTTCACTGTTCTTTTGTGAGCTTCTGACACCAGTCCTATCATGCCTGGAAAGTCAGATAGCCTTAACTTATCACCCCATGTCAGCCTTTGGCAAGAGGAAGATCCAGGGTTATTTCAGGCAGAATCAACACAGCATGACATTGGCACCCAGGGTGGACAGTTGGAGACCCTCTGGGTTAAAATCCATGTGGAACATGGCACAGGGGACACAATGGTGGAAGTCTATTATAGACTTCCTACCCAGGATCAAGAGCTTGACCATGAGTTCACCAGGGAATAGACTGAACCTGCATGCTGCTGGTGCATGGTTGTCATGGGAGGCTTCAACTACCCTGACATTTCATGGGAAAAGCACTTGCCCAAATCTAAGCGGTTATAAAGCTTTCTGTCATAAATGGATAAGCTCTATCTGATGCAAGAAGTCAACAGGCCAACAAGAGGTAAAGCCCTGCTTGACCTGGTACTAGCTATGGGGGATAGCCTAATCAAAGGGAAGCTGGGTGACAGTGACCATAAGCTGATCACCTTCATCATCCTCCATAAAGCTGGCAAGTCAGTCAGCAATACAGAAATCCTTGACTTCAGGAAAGCTGATTTTGACAAGCTCAGGAGCCTTGTAGCTTAGGCCCTAAGGGACCACAACCCAAAGGGGAGGAGAGTTCAGGATGAGTGTTTGCTCTTCAAAGGAGCAACCCTGGATGCACAGTCTAAGTCTATTCCATCTCGGAAGAAAGGCAACAAAAGGGCACAGCAGCCACTTGGCTCTCCAGGGAACTAGTGGACCTCCTGAGTCTAAAAAGAAGGACCTAAAAAGGATGGAGGACTGGATCCACCTCTAAGGATGAATATTCTGCACTGCTCCGGACCTGCAGGGAGCAGACCAGGAAAGCCAAGGCTGTGACTGAACTCCAACTAGCTACAAGTATCAAAGACAATAAAAGGTCCTTTTTTAGATATGTGGGGAGTCAGAGGAAAAGCAAAGGCAACATCAGACCCCTGCTAAACCAGATGGGACAACTGACAACTGATGCCCAGGAAAAAGCCAACTTGCTAAATGGGTACATTGCATTGGGTTTTCACCAGTCCCAAGGGGCGCCCCTGCCTATTACAGGACAGGAATGCCTGAGTGAGCATAATTCCTTACCCTCCATCAATGCTGACCTTGTTAAGGAACACCTTGAGAGGCTGGAAACCTCCAAGTCAGCTCTCCTTGAAAGCTTATACCCCAGGGTACTCAAAGAGCTGGCTTGCATCATAGCTCAGCCACTGGCATGGATCTTTGAGAACTCCTGGTGCTCTGGTGAAGTGCCCAAAGACTGGAAGAAGGCCAATGTGGTGCCTGTCTTTAAGACGAGGAGGACAGTAGACCTGGAAAACTACAGGCTGGCTGATGACAGCATCCTGAGGGATAGCCAGCATGGGTTTGTTGTGAGTAGGTCTTGCTTGACCGATCTTATTTCCTTTTATGACCAGGTGGCCTATCACTTGGACAAGGGAGAAGAGATTGATGTCGTATATCTTGACTTTAAACAATCTGGTATCCCATGATCACCTCTTCGTAAAACTGGCCAACTGCAGCCTCAGCTTCATCGTGATCCACCGGCTGGGGAACTGGCTCTGTGGTCAGACTCAGAGGGTGGTGGATTATGGAAGTCAATTGTCGTGGTGCCCTGTAACCAGTGGGGTCCCTCAAGGCTCTGCCTTTGGGACAACACTATTCAACATATTCATTAATGATGTAGACATTGGTATCAGAAGTGGACTGGCCAAGTTTCCCAATGACACTAAGCTCTGGGGTAAAGCGTCCACACCCAAGGATAGGAGGGCGATCCAGGCTCAGGAAATGGGTGGATGAGAACCTGATGGTGTTTAACACTGAAAAATGCAAGTTTCTCCACCTTATGAAGAAAAACCCAAAGCATGCTTATAGGTTCGACAGTGCTATGCTGGCTAGCACTATGGACGAAAAGGACTTGGGGGTCTTGATTGACCACAAGATGAACATAAGCCTTCAATGTGATGCTGCAGCTAGTAAAGCAAGCAAAATGCTGGCTTGCATTCATAGCTGCTTCTCCAGTAAATCCCAGGACGTCATTCTCCCATTGTACTCAGCTTTGGTGAGGCCGCAGCTGGAGTACTGCATCCATTTTTAGGCTCCACAATTCAAAAAGGATGCAGAGAAGCTTGAGAGATTCCAGAGGAGAGCCACACGCATGATCAGGAAAACAGACCTTATGATGACAGACTGAGAGCTATGGGACTCTTCAGCCTGGAAAAGTGCAGGCTCAGGGGTGATCTGGTGGCTGCCTATAAGTTTATTAGGGGTGCTTACCAGGATCTGGGGGAATGTCTGTTCACCAGAGCACCCAGGGGTTGGCAAGGTCAAATGGTGACAAGCTCCTTCAGCACCATTTCAGGCTGGACGTAAGGAAGAACTTTACAGTCTGAGCCCCCAAGGTCTGGAATAGACTGCCACCAGAGGTGGTTGAAGCACCTACTTTGAACACCTTCAAGAGAAATTTGGATGTTTATCTTGCTGGGATCCTATGACCCCAGCTGACTTCCTGTTCTTGGGGCAGGATGCTGGACTCGATGATCTTCTGAGGTCCCTTCCAGCCCTAATATCTATGAAATCTATGTGTAGTCTGCCTCCTTTCTCTATTCAGTCACAAAGTAGACTGATCTACATGGAAGACAGAGGTAGAGGTATACCTTGTGTATGTGCCCTTTTTTTTTCCAAACTCAGTTACATGAGTAAAGGTTGTCTCCATGTTGACATTTTAGAGCAGAATAATTTGTATTCCTTGCAAAGCCTTTCTAGCTGCATCAAGAATGATACTGATCAGATCAGGACTAACAGTACTATTGCAGTGTTCAATGAGGCCAGGCAGGGTTTTTCCCTTGCCTAATGGAAGTGGCATACTAATATTAGCAATTCACATTCTAGGCTCTGAAACTACACAAGTAAACCATCTCTCAGATTTTCATCCAAAACCTGGAAATGAATCCTCCCTCCTCCTTCCCTTGAACTCCCCATCCAAATTTATACCTTCTGCTGATTAGATGTTTTGCTTTTGTCTCCTTTGCATTCATGGATGACCTCTCTTCTCTATGCTTGCTAGGTACTGGCAAGGGAATTCTGAAAAGCATAAAATGGGGACAGATTGTCTATGCCTATTCTTCATTCAGGTCACTAGACCTGCCAAGCAGGAAGGATGTCAGCCTGGTAGGGAAGACAGGGAGGTCAGGGAGGTGTTGCAAGGCTGGAACAACATTGGGCTGTTGGAAAACTGTGGCTTACCAATGGAGACTTAAGTGTTTATACACAAACACTAGGAAGAGCACTCTGAAGTGCTTTCGGTTAGATTACAAGGCAGTCAAGGGGAAAGAGACTTAACAGTGGGGGTCTACTACAGACCTCCCAACCAAGGGTAAGACCTTGACCAAGAAATCTTAAGTCAGCTCACGGAGGTGTGGTTCCAGACAACCAGATCGGGCACGGTGGGCCAAGGGTATATGAACAGGTGGGATTAGTGGCAGTTGAGTCTGAGTGGCACACAAGCTTATGGTTCCAACCAAAGTGGTTTATTTAACTTACGCTTTGATGGCGTAGGCAATTTCTTCAGTTACAGTATAAACAACAAAGGGGTCCGTTGGCCAACGGGGTTCTTAGGTGAGCCCTTGCTTTCTAACCCCGGAGGGCTAGGGGCGGCTGCTCAACCTAATAGTCCCAAGGCTGGTCAATGGCTCATAAACAGGACAGACAAACAACGGAACTGTAACAAAACAAAGTCCAACGTGGATGAAAGCGGGTTGTGAACGATGCCAAAGTTGATTGAAACAATGCCGATGTCGATGCCGGAACGATGGGATGGTTGGATGGTTGAGGATGAAGGCCGAGGTCGGAAGCGGTGGAATCAAGGTAAGTTTGGTTTGATAGTCCATTAATCAGTATCAGAGTCATAGTCGTAGCCGGTGCCAGGTAGATCAAAAGCCAGAAAATCAATGGGAACGAATCAGAAAATCGCAATAGGAGGAGACCGATAGGCTACAGAGCCTAACTGAGGGACAGTCCCTGAGAGCCAGCCTCTGTCCTCAGTTCAGCGGG